TTTTGGGGTTGCCAGTTGCCTCTGGGTTTTTCAGCAAAGCATGTGCTTTAATGTGTGCTTCTGTTCTTGCTTGTGTTTGTTGCCAACCAATTCCTTCATCATTCTCTTTATGTTATTTCATGACTCATGCATAGACACCTAGAATCTTTTATGGTATTTGGTTTTGCTTGTCTATTAGACTTCTGCCATGGACTAACTTCCCTAATTTTGAATCGTTTACTCTTTTGGTGTTTGTGAAACAGCAAATACATCAGAGGTTGCAACTGTTGCAGTTAAAGATGGTTCTAAATTGCCTCTAAGTTTAAATACTCTTGATGGTAAACATGTTACTTTTCCTACCCACTTCCAAGTCTCTGAAGCATTAAAAACTGGCTTGACTTTTGGAAGCTTTGATCCTAGTTTTGGACTACTAATGACATATAACAATGATACCAATGGTGAGATCAATTCAGTGCATGCTGTTGAGTCTTCTCAAGGAAGTGATGTAACTGTTGAAGAACCTTCTCCCAGGTTGGGCATTATGGTTTCTACTCTGGTTATTATTTTCATATTCCCTTTTAAGGTGCCAATTATGGTTGCTATGTAGTTCTCTCTTTATATGTTTTTAATGTTCTAGACCATCTAACAACTTTATAAATCATGCAGCAATCAAAGTGTATCATCAGCTTTGCAAGGAGATGCTTCTGAACAACCACAAATTCCTACTGTGTTTGAGAAAGTGCTTGAATCAGATGGCAACAATTTATCTACTGCTGACTTGAAAAATATTCAGTCAAATAAGGAAATGAGGGTACAGTCAGAAAGTAATCAGAGCCAAAATGTCCCAAGCTATAATTTTGGCTTCATGCCACCCTTGTCGACAAGCCACTTTGTGCAGTTTAATGGACCTGCAGCTCAGGCACATGATGTTTCTTGCTTTTCAAACGGTGTTGTAAGCATTTTCTTCTGTTTCTTTTTCTTAACCATAATGCCATTATAGATTCCCTTCATATGAACTATCGTATCTTGTAGAGGCTGCATGATCACATTAACTTGAAACAGTTAAATTGGATGGTAAAACATGATATGATTATGAATTAGGAAAGATTCTCTTTATGTGTAGTGGTTCATCATATCACCATGCAAAGTCTTTTCATGGATGCTTTTTTATAATTTAATGCATGCTTATAAATTGTACTACTTGTTTTGTCAATTTTGTAGAATGGTAATGCTCCAGCTTCTTCTAGTAGTTCAATGCCACCAGTTTCCAGCTCTGTTGCTGTCCCTCCACAAGCAGTTCCTCTTTTCAGGCAGTCATTCCCTCCTAACTACTTCCCTTATGGCCATTATCTTTCACATTTCTTAATACCACCAATACACCAATTCTTTGGCCCTAATGGTCTCCCTCAGCAACCTTCAACTGGCAATATCTATCTGCCACCAGGAGCACCTTCTTCTGGGGTCAAATTCCCTCTCCCACAATTCAAGCCTGGAACAAATGCTGGAGGTGCGACTCACATTACAATTCCTTCTAGCTATGGTTCATATAACCCTCCTCTTGTTGGTTTCAATCCTGTTCCTGTTGCATCCTCTGGGGACTCTACTGGTGAGGAGGATCTAGCAGCTTCTCAGTTGAAGGAAAAACGTGTGTACACAACAGGAACAATGGTTGGTTTTGCTCCTTTACTTCTCTTTATATTTTTTACCAAGCATTTTCTATCAAATAGGCTTTATGCAACTGCATTGTATTGTGCTTCAAGTTAGTTTTACCTATGCAGTAATTAAAATTTTAGTATATCTATATTAATTCTTTTGTATTGCTTCCATTACAGAGTGAAGGTCCAGCTCTCTGGATGCCAACACCAGGGCAAGAGTTATCAAACTTGCCTCTTAGTTCATTGATTAACCTTTCCCTTCAGGGACATGTTGCTTTCTCTCCTGCACAGGCCGGTCATGGTGCCTTTGCTGGACTTTATCAAACAGCACAGACAATGGCAGCTCCTTTAAGTGTCAATCCCCCCCACCAACAATCACAACCCACAGCTGCTGAAACCATGGGACCCCCAACTGCTTATCAACAGCCTCAACTTCCACAGTTAACTTGGAATGCTAATTACTGAACTACATAATTTTATGGAATGGGGCCTAATGTTGAGCAGGAATGGAGGAAGATTGGGAGAGTTAAACACCTGGCTTGCTTTTGAGTGTAAATAGTACAGGCATGGCAGCAATTTTAGTGTGATATCAGTGGTGGGGAAACATGTTCAACCTATTTGAAGAAGCATTGACAGAAATGGAGCTTGTTGAGGGCTTTTTTTCCTTTTTCTTTCTTTTTTTTTTTTTGGTTGGTTACCTTTTCCCCTCATTCCTGGGTAGCAAACATTTTGCAGTTTCTATTCAAGTTATTCTTCTGAAGATTCTATAGGAAATTTTTAAGGAGGTGAATAGAGTAGGTGGGATTTTTGCCAAATTTTCATTTGTAATGTCTCACCTGTATATTAGATTTTGATAGCAAGGGATTATGTAGCACTGAAATTGGTATATGGAAAGTACTATTTAAAAAAAAATGGCAAAGGTATGTTGTTTTTGCCTCTGTTTTACCTTCGATTCATCTGTTGATAGGTTCCTTTGCTTTTTAACTCTTCATTGGGGCCTCCTCAAACCTAATCTTACTGACACTCCACTGTTAAAAGGCTTTGATGAGTAAAGCAAGAGAAGTATACTGGAGAAGCCCAGGATGTGCTTTACTGTATTTCTGTTTTGTCTAAACAAATCCTTCTGTAGCATCAACTTCTCCCTCAGCATCACTTAGCTTGGATGTTTTCAGACGTTATTGGTACTTGTATTGCTTGTTATACCTGTGTCTTCCCTTATTTCTCTGTTGGTCTTGGTCTTGGTCTTCTGTAAGGGGATGCTCTGCTTTGGAATTAGCTGCTTGCTTGAACTTTCACCCGACTCCTCCTTGTTATGTGATGCATAAACCGAGATTCCACAAAGGCTCACAACCCCATGATCTGAATTTCATGTCGGATACCCTCGAAGGAGCAAGACACATGTCTTAAATTGTCTTAAAACACCATGAGAGAGGTTGCAGATGTTGCCCTGTACATCAAGCAAGCAGGAGAATAAAACCCTCCTCGTTAATGAGGTAAACAATTAATGAAGAGGAGATTCAGACTCACCCAAGTGCCAAAGCAGCAGACCATTGGAGCAGGAAGCCAAGGAGAGCTGATATGAGAGTAGCAGTTGAGTTATTCAGATCCCACTTGAACGAGAACACTCCTGGGGGATCCAACCATGGCATCAAGGCCAGGAAGAAGAAAATTGTGACCCACATCAACCTAAAAAAATTTGGGAGAACTCAATTGATCAAATGATTCATTTCTTTTGTTAGGAAGGCCAAAACAACAAAAAGAAGAAGAAGATGATGATGAAGAGAAGATGAAGATCAGATTCTACTGACACCAGAGCGTACAGTAGCTAGTGCTACATCTGCTGAAAAAACAGCTAGAGCCAAAACCTATATTCTGATAAAACAGCAACAAACCTTCCAATAAGTAGCTGAAAAATAAAACAGCATCAACCATTCCATGGGAGCTCTTTTAGACTAAATTAAAAGATAAGTTGTTATGGATTAGAAGTTTAAACCAGATCAAAGTTCCATTTCCATATTAATATGGTAGCTTTTTAAATTAGATCAAAGTAGTAATTAAGGATCAGCTTAAACCAAGAATTACTAGACTAATGGTATAAATATATATAATGTCATTATTATTTGCAAAGTTTAGTCCTCTCTCCACAGACCGCCAATATATCCACACTACACTACTTTACACCAAATCTTCCATAAATAAATTTACAAAAATTTCGAGCTTTTACCTCAGTTACTATCACTACAATAATCAACCCTAAATTACCCCTATATTTTATTTTAAACAAAACACACACAGATATATTTTATGAAAAAATAACTGTAATTTTCATTTTGTAATTTATATTATTATTATTATTATTATTTTTATTTTTATAGTAAAAGTTTGACCTTGTTGTTATGTGAATGGAGTCGGAAGGGGTCAAGGACAAGACAACTTCCATTGGGTTTAGGTCTGTGTGTGTGGTGATTTAGCTTTGAGTTTGAGTTCCCAGAAAATGTTGTCCTCATAAACGCTGTCGTTTAAGGAAACTTTGAGGTGATTAAGACATTTCATGTAATCTCAATTTGTCAGTGTATGTATGGATTCCAATTAAAACCCTTTGTTTAAAACCGACTTACTAAAAAAAAAAAAACATTGACTTGCATAAAAAATTTATTAGTTTGAGTGAAATGCTTTCTTTAAATAAGATCTTAAATTTAAGTATCATGAATGAAGATACAAGCATTAAGAGAGTTTTTTTTTTTTTTTTTAAGATTTGATATAATTTGATTTTATATTAATCAAGAATCAATATAATTTTTAAATGCCGAGAGGTGAGTTAAAAAAAATGACTTCAAAGATTGTTTTTTGTTTTTCATATGATGTTATTACTAAATTCAACTCTGAAACTTCGTGGATATTTCCTTTTTCATCCATACAACCACCTCCAACATCATGACTCAATAAACTAGCATGTTTAATTCATAAGTAACTGCTCCAACCAATACACACTTCTACACTTGCATCTCTCCCTATTAGCAACTAAAAACACATATTTCTTATTCAATTTTTTTTTTTAAGAAAAAGGAAACTTGAATAATAAATCCATATATGGTGCATGCGTGATTGAAACTTTCTTGGGGGCAATTGGGAATATTCTTCATCCTGAAATTTTTTATATATTGTAAATTTCATATTTCATGCATGTCTTTCTCAAATTTTCATATATACATATATATATATATATATTTATTTATATATATAAAGTAAAGTAACGTGCATATTTAAAAATGGCAACTTCATAATGCAAAGATCAATCACTTCATAGATCAGTGAGATTTGAAAAGGTGGAAACATTTTAATCCACCATCCTTTTCTTTTCTTTTTTTCATGTACTTGGATATGCAAATTGCAATTCATGGCTGTATTCATTTTTTTGGTACTTGAAATTATCTGACAGGTGACAACAACAGACCATTCAAGAAAACATGTTTCTGTCTGTACCGTTCCATGCATAGGACGGATCTTGGTCTGTTCTGCACCTGCCCCTACCTCCCATCCAATCTCCTTCTTTCCCTTTCAGGAAGACTCCACCTTTCCTCTCCTCAGCTCAGTCCCCAGTCTCCAGCCCCAGGAAAAAAGTTGTCTTTTTGTCTCTCCACAGATGGAGTTGGTGTCACGTTCACCTGACTCACATGTCAAATCAGGCTCCTCTTCTCTCCCGTGGCGAGATATATTCCGATCTGCCTCAATCCGCCGCCCTTCTCCCACT